TATTTGACAGACGGTGTTTTAGGGATGAATCTTTGGGCTGAGTTTTGAAAGACAAGTAGGCAGGAGAGAACGGAGGAAACATTGAGGGGACGTGAAGTGGGCTTCACTGATGGATGGGACAGTCACACATAACATGTCACAGAATGAACAAGGCAGGACAAAAAGTCTTGAAGAAACGATCGTTGAAATTTTGCTACGTTTGATGGGAATTACAAATCCACTGTCCAAGAAGCGTGATGAGCTCCGTCCAAATTGACAGGACCCTCCTTCATCCCCCTTGTATCCTGTACTGATTCTGACCACAGAACCTGCAACATTGAATGACGTGTTTGCCCGTCTCCCCATATGGAAGTGTGAGCGACTTTAAGGTGGAATCGTGCACAGCACAATAAATATTAGATAAAACCAAGCTTCTCACAAGTTTTGCTTATTTTGTCTCAGAGAGGCGAAATATAATGGACTTGACTGACACCACTACATTGGGACATCAACCCTTTAGGCACTAGCTGCACGTCCGGACCTTGTGCTTAGCATGAAAAAAGAATAAATTTTAAACCACACTCTCAAATGGAAGTGTGTATTGCAGCATCAAAAATTAGTGTATTGTTATACTGTTCACCCTTCATTTAAAAAACACACCCTCCATGAAATTGTGTTTTAAAGCAATTTACCTGCCTGCAAGTTTACTATCGGGTCAGCTGAAGTCAACACACCATCTTGATCCACGTGGAAGCCATTGTGAGACCAGATGCCAGGTCAAAGGTCAAAGTCTCCTGTGTTTGGGATTCTGAGGGTCGTGGAGAGTGGTAGTGGCCCTGGAACGCATGGAAATCACGCATGTGCTCCCAGCGTTCTCTCTCTATAGTCAAACCACAAATTCCGAGTCAGTCACCATAGCTCTGGTCTTCCACGCTGTTTTGCAGGTCTTGATGCCTTGTGAGAAATTAAGCTGGGAACTTACCATCCATTCATTTTATTCTGTTATTCTGGTGGCTGTTAGGACAGGCCGCTGCTCTTACATCCCTCAGAATGTGAGGCTTCCTCTGGTCAGTTTCTGAGAACAGCCTGCCCGACACCCAGCCATGCGAATGGCCGACACCCAGCTATGCGAACGGAAAGCCCACCTCCAGCGTTACAGCATCAGGAGCTCCCACTGTCCCCTCCCCAGTGGAAATGGTGAAATTAGTGCAAAAGCAACCATTTAAGTCTCCGGAAACCATCCTAAGGCCAACAGCCAGCGAGGAAGCATGTGCTGATCAGGACTCCTCCGGAAGCAGCCCTCCCTCCCCCGATCCCTGCCACAGGGCAGGTGGGGGCTCCCTCCCCGGACCCTAATGGAGGGCTCTTCCTGGGAGGGGCGGGACAGCAGCGTTTCTCGTCCTGCCCTCACCTACCTGCTGCTGAGGCCAAGTCCTGGGAGAGAGTGGGGGTGAGAGAAGGGGGTTTCCCTGTCTGCCCAGCTCCCTCTGCTCTGGCTGCAGCACTGAGAAGGTTGTGAGGGAAAGTAACTGGGAAGAGATTCAAGACCCGGGTTAAGTTATAGGCCCTGTAGTTTGCCCAGGGCGGGGAGGAGGGAATGAGAGCTGGGAGGAACCTAACTGGAGTCAGAAAAAAATGTCAAATGTGGATCTCAAACACGATTCCCCCAAAGGAACCAGAACTTGGGTTATTGTGTGCTGTGTGCTCCAGGGCGTTGTTGAAAGAGCTGTTGGTCACACGTCAGCAGCTGACCCACTCGGTGTGACATGTTCACAGAACTAGAGAAACCACGAGAAGGAAGGGCGATAAAGGAATACTAAGTAGAACAACTGAGTAACATCAACTTAGATGAAATGACAAACTCTTAGAAAAACACAAATTACTGAAACTGACTTAAACATAATAGGCAATCTGAATAGACATACAGTTAAAGTGAAGAAGTTGAATAGTAATTAAAAACTCATAAAGAAAAGCCTAGTTGGCTTGACTGAATTCTACCAAAAATTAATTTTCATAAACTTTACCAAAAAAGTAGAACAGGGAACATTAACCAACTTATTTTTATGAAGCCAGTATTACAGACAGTCCTCGGGTTACGTCAGACTCTATGTACACACGTGTTTTATGTTTTTTATTACTCATTTACCACAAGTAAAGGTCAGGAATTATCTTTTAAATTTTTTTTACTGCTTCACTTCATTCCTGCTGTGTCTGTGCCCCATGTGAGTGACGTAGGTGCTTATGTAGGTGGGTTCCGATTTGCGGCGAAAATCGAGTTACGCTGCGCTGTAGGAAAGGATCTCCGACGTAACCCGAGGACCTACTGTATTACCCTGGTACCAAATCCAGACAGAGACATTATAAGAAAATAAAATACAGGCCTATCTCTCTTATGAATATGGATGCAGGAATACCCGGGGCATAGAACTGCCCCTCAAGGGCTAATTTCTAGAGATAGGAAACCACTTGCCTTTCATGCAAACCAAGGAATCCAACGTCCATGTCCCAGACACCTAACGCCCACCAACACACAGGCCAGTATTCCTCTCCCCTGCATCATCCCAGGCAGGCACCTGACAACTAGAGGTCACTCCCACAGCCTAGAGCCCCCGAAATTACGCCAACTATCCAACCCTAAAATTGCTCAAAACTGCCTGTGCCCGCCCACTCCTTCCTACAGAAACTAAACTAAGATGGTGGGCCGTGTACTCCTTGAGCCTCACACCTTCCCTGAACTTGATGCTGTCCCATGTGGCTCCGTGTGGCAAGTTCCAGTCTCTTTACACCTTACTGCACCCAACCAATCCTGGGTGTCCTTACAGTGACCATGTAACACATGGTATCAAGACTGGAAACCAGAAGCCACCTCTCCTCTCAACAGGTGCAGAAAACGCATTTGACAAAGTACAACACTTTTCATGATAGTCAACAAATTAGGACTAGGATGAAACTTAATCTGATAAAGGCCACCTATAGACACACTCATAACTAGTATCATACTTAATGGTCAAGACTGAGTATGACCCCAAGGGTCAGGAAGAGGGCAGAGATTTCTACTCTTAACACTTCTATTCAATATTGTATTGGAGGCTCTAGCCAGGGCACTGGCATGCAGAGAGAAAGGAAGTACAATACCTCTATTTGCAGATGCCAGCATCTTGAATAAGGAAAGTCCTAGAGTGACTCACTAAATACGTCAGAATAAATGAGTTCAGTGGGGTTGCAGGATACAAGATTGATATACAAAAACCAACTGTAATTACACTCAAAATGAACAATCTGAAATTAAAACCCAGAAAACTGTTCTAACAGCATAAAAAAAAAAACACAAAAGACTTCGGCATAGAGACAGACCAATGGTTGCTTAGGGCTGGGGGAATAAGGGTGATAGCTAGAGGGCACCCCTTTTTTTGAGGCGATAAAATGTTCTACAATGTACTGTTGTAATCTATGTCCATGAACATACTAGTAAACACTGTACACTTCAGGTGAGAGATTTGCATGAAATGCGAATTACATCTCAAACCCTTGAAGAGATTACGATGAAAAAACCACCTTTAACAGCTGATATTAGGAGTACTTGTCAGGCACTGTGCTCACTGATTTATACACTATTTCATCTCATTTTTATACCAATCTGTGACGTATCCATTTTGCACTTAAGGAAACAGTGTCTTAGAGATCTTAAAACCTTGCTCAAGGCTACATGGTGGGTAAGGGAGAAAGTCAGGATTTGAATTCATGTTCCTCTGACTTCAAAAGCTGAGAATGTATAGCCTCTTAAAACAAAGTCTCAACAAGTTGGTTCTCTGATCCCACAATGGAGATAGACTGTGTATGGAGTTAGGAAGTAGGCAGAGTCCAGGTCGCCTCGGAAGCTGTCCAGGTGTGATCACTAACCACCTACCCTCCAATCACCTCCAGTTCCTCCTCATCGCACCTTGCTACTGTTCTAGCGTACGCTCATCCACTTGGGCGGTGGACTTGAATGAGGTGCAATCTTTTTGAAGAGGGTCTTAAAGGCTGTAAATATGTAACTGTCTGCTTCTACATCCTTTGGTTTAAAACTTGCGGTTACTCTAGTAATATTAAAAGCCAGTGAGAAGTAAACCCCGAAATAGCTACTTCCAGTGTGTTGATTGGTTAGGATATAAAACCATTTTATTTCCTTTTTTTTCGGGGAGAGACATTTAATTCACTGACCACAAGTCAGTTCTTTGACATTTTTAGTTACCTAGTTACATACCTGCCTGGTTACTGGATTGTTTTCTGCGACATGGATGAATGCCAAGGGCAGAACTGGTACAAGCTGAACATGTGCAGATGTTGCTGGACAAGGGGAAAGGAGCAGGTTGTACAAGTGGGGAAGACCTCTGTAAGGTCGTCACTACATTCTATCCCGTTCAAGATCCGTTACTGCCCAACAAGCCTGGGGGGGGGGAGGGAATCTCAGCAAACCCTCATCCAAATCTCATTTCCCCTGTGCTCATCTCCGATGCTCTGGCTCGAGGGCGAGATCTGTCAGGCACAACTCCACCCGACCTTTCTCCGGGTGCCGAGATGGACGATCTACCTTAGCACCACGTGCGCCTGCTGCACATAAGTCAGACGTAAAGCTGTCAGCTAACGGGAACAAAGGGTTTCCCTCCAAAGCCCGTCTCCAGTACAGCGTTCACCCACAGAGACTGTCAAGTTTGCTAAATGGGTTGACTGTTCAGAATTACTTTAAACAGCGAATGCATTGGTAATCCAAGACAAACTATTGCTACAAGGTCTTAGAATGAGTCTAACCCATATTTTATCCTAAAATGTAGCAATAGTTTTTGCAAAAAGTTATAAAAATATATTTATACATAAATGCCCCATAAAACAGATTTGGCAACTTGTTTGCTTATGGTCTACTGTTGAGGGAAAAAAGTATGTTTATTACCGATAGACACCACATGTCTATATTTACCAAACTGCATGGCTTTAAAAATTATTAACTTGACAGTACATTTCTCTTGTCAATTTTTTTATTGTGCTACTTGTGCAAAGGATGAAATTAAGTGTTTACTGAATTATTTAGATCTTTAAATTACTCATTTAACAAGTTCATTTAAATAAGTTTACTATTCCATAAATGATAATCAGCTTAAATACAAGTTTGATAACTAAAATTTTAAAAATAAAATATTTCCGACAAGGCAAGGGAACATTGATCACTAAGTGACTAAAAGGCCGCACTCGCACGGCTACTCCACACGGTCAGTACTTGGTGTAGGCATCTGCATCATCCTCTCATTATTTGTATTGCCATTTGGTAGAAAAATAATATAAAAAGTACATTCCTTACGCTCAACATTAAAAGTTTAGCCAACAAAAGCAGTTTGCTTCTAGACAATCAATTATTAATGGTCCATTCATTACACACTATCCATCACCTCTTATAAATTATTTTACAACACTTATTGAATTTTAGAGCCTACACCAAGTATCACCACGTAATTGCACAGTCATACAACAGAGAACAGTGTTGTTTTTCTTTTCCTTTTCCCACATCTACTCACACACTTTCCCATCCTCAATGGTCTGTGCCTGAGGTCCTGTGAGAATCTGCCAGTTTAAAAACCTGAATATTAAGGGATTTCTGTGAATCAGTAGCAAGCTCCTTCAAAGCAATAATAAAATTTCTTCAGACTTCACGTTCTATCAATATTAGCTGCACACAAGGTACAATGAATATCCACGAGAGAGATATTTTTTACATTCCCCTGCTTCTCAAACCCTTTTAAGAAGTTGCTAGTGAGCAGTGAACCGGTCAATCTAACCTGGATAATTAGTCTCTGAATAATTTAGAGACTTTAAAAATAATAGCCTTTAAGCCTGCTGAACAAGAAATACCATTACATTTAACCAATGCATTACTTAGAAAGTTACTCATCTGAGGTAGAATACATAAAATTTGTTAAACTACAAAAAAGTGGCAAAATTACATGCCCATAATTCAACTTGAACATAGCAACCACACCCCCCCAAATACTTTATTAGAAATCTTAATCACAGAAGCAAAAGTGCATAAATTATAAAACAGCAACTTAAAAAACTTAGCAGTTCAGTTGTCCTCATTTTAAGATTGGTTTAATACTTTTAACTGTAGAGAAAGACAATGGGCCCAATGCCTGCTAGCGTATAAAATCATCACTAAAACAAATTCCTCTCAAAAATCTAACCGACACAAACTCCTATGAAGTGTATACTTTATTTAACATTCTAATAAGCCATATTTACATATTATATAAATGTCTGAAGTCTTAATATAAAATAGGGATAAAATGCCTCCACTAAAAGAATCATACTCCATATGGAGTGATTTTACTTATGGAAGACCTTCTGTTTACAAAAATTTACAATTTATATAAATTACTGTCTTCCAAATTAGGTGATTTTTAATAATCCACATAATTCTGGTGACTTTACAAACAGGTGTACAATAAAACTTGGAAACAGTTACAGCATTTTTCTGCGGACAATTTGTTTTGGGAAGGAAGACGGTCTCTTCCTGTTCCTCCCCAGAGCTTTTCCCGTCTCCTCGATGGTTCTCCTCGGCCTGCTCCTCACTCTCTCAGCTGGTGTTGCCAAGGGAGAAATGAGCTTAATCTCTACTGGAGGAGGTGACCAACTGTCTTTCTCTGTGGTTCTGAAAAAAAAGATATCATTCCAGTAAGAATAAACACGCCATAATATAAACCACAACTGGCTTCTCAATACACGAGAAGAAACCTTAGGGATGATGACCTTTTCCTAGTGCTTTCATTTCATAAGAGAAGCGAAGTGAAGCTTTAACTCATATAAGCTAATCAGAGGCAGAGTTAAAGTGTCACATGACAGAAACTTCTCTTTTTAATCTGAATATTCAAAAGCATCACTTCTAAATGTTGCATATGTCCTAATAAATACTGCTGGGTTATAGAGACTGACCCAGCCCGAGTAGTCAGTCCATGGAATAAAAGCCCCGCAGGCCCATGAAAGGAGAAGAAAGCAATTCTCAAACAGCAGCAATTAGCAATTATGTAGATATTTTCGTAACAGTATGAAGTAGTTTTCCACATACATACAAAGCCAGTTTATGTGTAAATAGTGTTGTTGTTATTATAGTCAAAAGTCTCATTAAATTCATTTTTAAAGTAAGATAAAATGGGTTACTTTACTTTTCTAGAATTCAATGATGTCAAAGCACAGCATAAATAAAATACCATGTAACAAATATATCTGAAATGGAGTAATTTCCCCATGGGTAAAGTTATATAGCTATTAGTGAAATAATCACAGGATCTTTATTTACTTTTTACTAATAGCCATCTATTTTTACTAAAGAAAATGTAAAACATCTCACTCCCATGCAAAATCAAAGACTCACTGGTATTAAACTGCTTCTTTAAGGAGGATGAGTGGCTTTCACATGATAAAGAAAACCACCGTGAAGTCAAACAGCTGCAAGGAGCCAGTGCTTGTAAACGACCCTAAGAATGACCCTGTCTAATGAGCGTGACTTCCTAGTTTAAACCGACTCTCCTCACATCCCACATTAAGGAACAGAACATAAAACCACAGCATAGGAAAGGCCGTACCTGCTTGCTTGTTTTGTTTTTCCAGTCCTCATTCTTTTCACTCTTTGCTGTCCCACAGCATCATTTTCCTAAGAGTTGAAATTTTAAAAAGTTAAATCTTTGGTAGTTAAACATTCGAAATCTAAATTTAAAAAGTTCTTTACTAAATCAAGGAATATAATCAAACAGTCCTAATGAATTCAAACTCAGCAAGTCTCATACGAACTCACTAGAGGCCCGGTGCACGAAATTCATGCACT